ACATGTTCAATTTCATTGATACAGATTGGGTTATTCAGCAGTTTTACATCCTCTTGATCTAGCTTTGGTACTTCATATGTTTCTAAGAATCTGTCTATTTCTTCTGTGTCATCAAACCTTTGAGAGTAGAGGTTTTTGAAATAGGTGTTGATGATCTTCTGTATTTCTATTGAGTCTGGAGTGACTTCACCTTTTTCATTTCTTATTGCATGGATTTGAGCTCTTTCTTCCCTTTTTTAAATAAGGTTGGCTAGGGACTTACTGATTTTCTTTATTCTTTCAAAGAACCAACTTTTTGATTCGTTGATTCTTTGGATGGTTTTCTTAGTCTCTATTGCGTTGATTTCTGCTCTGATTTTTATAATTTCCTCTCTTCTTTTGGCTTTGGGCTTGACTTGCTCTTCTTTTTCTAGCTTTTTGATGTGTAGCATCATGTTGTTTATTTGTATTCGCTCTGTTTTCCTGATGTGGGAGCTCAGTGCAATAAATTTTCCTCTGAGGACGGCTTTCATTGCATCCCATAGATTCTGGTAAGTTGTATCTGTATTTTCATTTGTTTGTAGGTATTGCTTAATTTCTTTTTTAATTTCCTCTGTGACCCACTGATTACTCAGGAGTATGTTATTCAGTTTCCATGTGTTTGTGGGATTTTTGCAGTATCTTTTATCGTTAATTACTAATTTCATGGTGCTATGGTCCGATAGCATGCAAGGGATAATTTCAACTCTTTTGCATTTATTTAAATATGTTCTGTGAGTTAATATATGGTCTACTTTAGAAAATGACCCATGTACTGCTGAGAAGAATGTGTATTCTGTTGTTGTTGGGTGGAATACTCTGTATATGTCTATTAAGTCCATTTGTTCACAGATGCAATTCAGTTCTTTTATTTCTTTGTTGATTTTCTGTTTGGTTGATCTGTCCATTGGTGTCAATGGTGTGTTAAGATCTCCTGTCAGAACTGTGTTACTGCTGATTTGGTTTTTCATTTCTGTTAGTACTTGTTTTATATAACTGGGTGCTCTGGAGTTTGGTGCATATATATTTAAGATAGTTATCTCTTCCTCTTGGAGTTTTCCCCTAACCAGTATGTAGTGACCTTCTTTATCCTTTCTAATCATTATTGGCTTGAAGTTGACTTTGTCTGCAAACAGAATAGCCACCCCCCCCCTTTTTTGGGGGGGTTCCTGTTGCATGGAGTGTTGTTTTCCATCCTTTGACTTTGAGTCTGTGAGTATCCTTTTGAGTTAGGTGGGTTTCTTGTAGACAGCATATGGTTGGATTTTGTTTCTTGATCCATTCTGCCAGTCTGTTTCTTTTAATTGGTGTATTGAGACCATTTACATTAACAGATAGAACTGTTATAAACTGGTTTATTGTGGACATATTATCTTTCTGCTGTTGCATGTTTATCTTTCTGCTCTGTTCAACTGTCTGCTTTGTTTAGTGGCTTTTTCCTAAATGTATCTAGGCTGTCTTTCAGTATTCTTTGCAGGGCTGGCTTGGTGATCATGAAGTTTTTCAGCTGATCTTTGTCATGGAAGTATCTTATTTCTCCATCAAATTTGAAGGACAGTTTTGCAGGGTACATCAGCCTAGGTTGGAAATCATTTTCCTTTAGGATCTGAAATACATCACTCCATGCTCTTCTTGACTTTATTGTTTGTGCTGAGAAGTCTGCTGTAATTCTGATAGGTTTTCCTTTATGGGTAATCCGTCTTTTCTCTCTGACAGCCTTTAATATTCTATTCTTTTGTTCAATTTCTGAGATGGTCATTATTATATGTCTGGGTGTAGATTTATTTGGGTTGTGACTATTTGGAGTTCTATGTGCTTCACTGATCTTGATATCAGTTTCCAATCTCATGTTTGGGAAATTTTCAGCTATTACTTCTCTAAATATCCTCTTGACATCCTTTATGTTGTCCCCTTCTTTTTCATTTATCCCTATCAACCTTATGTTGTTTCTCTTTGCGTCATCCTGTAGGTGTTGAATTGTTATTTCCTGATTCTTGTTACTTTTAAAAGATCTTTTCTTTCCTGTTCACTTGTTGCAATCTTGTCTTCGAGGTCTGAGATTCTATCTTCGCATTCATTGAGGCGGTTTTTACAACTTTCAATGGAGTTTTTGATTTCCTGTATATCTCTTTGCATCTGTTTTATGTATTCTGTTTGTTTCTTATATTGTTCATCCAGGGATTCTATCCTTTTGTTTAGTTCCTCTAATTTTTTAACTGCCTCTTCTTTAGCTATGTTTAGCATCTGCTTCATTTCTTTTATCAATTCTTCTTTCATCTGAGAGAAAATTTCTAGTTTGAATTCCTTTAAGGCTTCCCATGCTTGCTTCTTTATTTCAGTTACCATTATTTCAGGTATTTCAGTCATGTGGCATGTGTTTTCTTCTATGCACATGGCTCCTGGGCTTTCTTGGGATGTGCTGGATGTTTGAGATTGCATTTTGGACTTTCGTTTTGTCATTTTCCTGTATTTGAGAGCTTCAAGTGTTGTTCCAGGTGTGGGAGAGAGATCCACCAGCCTGGGATGGGGTACCCTGCAATGGCCCCACTCACTGTACCCAGCAGGGAACTATGGCCTGCTCCTCAGCCAGGAAGAGTGTCTCCTCAGGCTGGGCGGAGCTCCCAGCCACCGCTGCTACAGTCTCTGATCTGGCCTGGTCCCCAGGTCCGGTGGGGAACTGGCCTGGGTCCCCAGTTCAGGGAGAAAGTTCACGCAGGCTGGGCAGAGCTCCAGCCGCCGCTGTTACTCTCACCCTTCCGGCTTGGTCTCTGGTCTGGTGGGGAGCCGGTCTGGTCCCCCAAGTCAGGGAGAAAGTTCCCGCAGGCTGGGCAGAGCTCCCAGCTGCTGCTGCCACAGTCTCTGATCAGTAGCATTAAATCTTGAAAAATGAAGCAACAACTTCAATATTCTTGGAGAAAGATGCTTGAACTTAGAATGTTGTATTTGTCTAGTCAATCAAATAAACATTTTCAGACTATAAAGATCCAGAGAAACTATGTCCCATGCATTCCTTTCTGTGGAAGTTCTTAAGGGTTTGCTACAGCATAATGAGGGATACCCAGAGAAAGACCAGGCCATAGGAACCAAGGACAGCAATACTACCAGTGCAACTTTAAACCAGAGGATACACATCTCTGTGAGAGAAAATTTGTAGGAGAATTTACTACAAGGTATTTCTTTAAGTATTCTTAAAAGTAAAAAAGTATTTCATCATACAGATGAAATGAAAGGCAAGAAAAAATAAAATTAAAAGGAAGAAGAGATATCTATAAATTGAATGACTTTCCAAAGATGTCCCTAATCTCAGGAACTCTTGAACACTACCTTGAAGATGCCTATGTAAGTCAGACATATCAAGATGTTTATCCATGGCCCCAATATAAGCACAAAGACCCTTAGAGATGATGTGACAACATGGGAAACAAAGATCACATTATACTACTTTGAAGACAACAAGCTTTGAAGACACTACCTTTGAAGACAACAAGAATCTGAGACCTGAAATATACCAAGGAAATGTAAGGAAATGCATTTTCTAAAGCAGTAAGGAGAAATGCAACCTGTCTATAACGTAGAACTTCTGAGCTCCAAAACAGAAGATAAATTTGTACTACTTAAGCTACTACATTGTAGTACCTACAGAAAACTAATGTGAGACAGAGACAGAAACAGAAAGACAGATAAGCAGGCAGAGACACCAGGAACATACTAGAGCAAAGAGGAGAAAAATACTCAGCCCCAAGGATACAGACGTGTAAGACAAACAGCCCAGATGTTATAGACCCCAGACACCAAATAAATGAGGCCATGTATATTAGCTGCTATAACAAAATACCCAATGCTGATAACCTATCAAATGCTATTTGGCTCATGATTCTGTTGACTAAATTTAGGGCCCAAAAGGCATAAAGGAAGCCTCCTGGCAAGGGCCCCTCCAGGTGCATTCCCACATGGTGAAGCTGTGGAAGGGGGAACAGCCATATGAGGAGGCACCAGGCACACAAGGTGGCCTTGCACATCCTCACAATCTATTTTCAAAAGAACAGATTCACCTTTCCAAAACTAAACTCAGTCAAGGCCAGTCCCAGGCCATTCTTGAGGATGGATGACACAATTCTTTCCTTAGGCCCTGTCTCTTAAGGATTCTACGTCAGCACTACCACAATGGAGACTTAGCTTCCAGTACCTGGATACTGGAAAGACCAGATATACCCAACCACAGGACTGCATAAGTGACCCCATCTTATAAGAACGTGAAGCAGATAACCTGATAATTAATCCAAACTATGTAAATATATTTCAACTGCATTTGTGGTTAAGAAAGAGTACAGGCATCAGATTTACCTACTACTTTACAATAACTTAAAAAAAAAAAAAAAAAGAAACTGGATAACTTATATGAACCAATGATTCCCATACAGTGGACACGAAGGGGCTCAGGATAATGATCTCTGAAAGAGATGAATCCTATAACGGTCCTTGTTTACTGTCTGGAATTTCCAAACTGTGACACAGGAGGAGGCAAGAAGTTTCCAGACTAAAGCTGAGTATAGACTAAAGGCAGACAGTGGGAGTGATGGAAGATAGCTCTCTAAGGCTGTCTTAAGAGATTCATATTTGGGGATGTCCCCACCCCACATGCCCCACTTCAACTGTAACACACTCAATACTAATACAGCCTTAAGAAACTTAAGAAGACCTGTTCAGGCACTAGCTCTACCTGCACCTATCCTTTCACCTTGATTTCTAGCATAAAACTGTGGATTTAAAATAAAAGCTGAAAGCCTTGGGGGAAATTATATTGCAAAAAAAAAAAAATATTTCATATCAGACTGTGTCATTGTACAAGGCCAGTTAAATTGTACATGCTGTTCAGATTAGTAATAAAGTATACATGTGGCAGAATACCACAGCATACAAGAGCTCCTGAACAGCCATCACAGGCTACCGGCTGTAGGACACCAATGGGAAAACAGCCTCACCTTGGCTCTGTCAGACCATCCGAAGGACTGCACGGTCACATCTAATCGTTTCATTAACATCCGCCGGCGACATTCATATTCACAGGAAAGGGCATCATTGATTTTTTCTAGCTGTTCCTAAAATATATGAGAGCAAATACCATAGTCCTTACACTCATTCTGCATACACAAGAAATCTGAAACTTGTAGTAAGCACTACTTTCTACTGATTCAACAGTGTACAGCACCTGGTGAACAGTTCTGATTCAATGAGATTTTATCTGGTAAACTAAATAACACAGTATTTGCTAGAGCATTTATAATACTCAGAAGATACTAAATATGTTTATATGATCTTTAATTTAACGTATTAAGTAAAATATGCTAAGCAGTATGGACCAAAAAGGAAATAAAACAATAATGTCACATCTTGTCAACTTTTAAGACACTATCTTTTCAAATTATAACTGTATTAACATTTTGGGTACTATGTTTTTGACCAAGTGGATTTTTAATGAATAATTTGAAGAAATAACAGGGTGTTTTATTATAGAATTTCAATATACTTTCATTCTCCAAAATAATACAGTATATGCATAATACACATTGCAAAATCTAGATGTCCATTTATAAAATTAAGTGACTACTATGGTTTGAATATTGCTTGTTTCCTCAAAGGCTCCTGTGTTGGAGGCTTAATCTTCATTGTGGCATTACCAGAAGGTGGTAGGAATTGTAGGAAGTGAGAGAAGGGAAACCCAAAGAAGTGGGATCCTAGAAAGGATCCTAGGTCAACTGGGAATGTGCCCTTCTGGTAATACCACTCCATACACTCCTGCCACTTTCACCCATCATCAGGTTACACAGCCAAGGAGCAGTTTCTGCAAGAGCCTGCGCTATGCTGTTTATACTTTCAGCCTCAAACCGTGAGCTAAAGTTCTCTACAAAATTAGTCTGTCTTGGGTAATCTGTAATAGCAACAAAATGGGCTAATACTAATGGGCTAATAGGCACTAATTTAATCATATAAAACTAATAAGAAAGGAAGAATTACCGCCTGTTCCGGACTTAAATCAACTTTCAACAATGGTTTTCCCAGATGATTTTTCTGGACATTAGACAGAATATCCTTCACCTAAAAGAAAAGATTGTGAAAATGTACATGGTACTTAATTTATAAGAATTTTACTCTTGTCTAAAGTGCTATTTTGAACATTAGAAAGTAAATAAAATGTTAAAGTGAAATGCTTAAACTATATACTTTCACACACAAGGAAGCAGTATAATTACAATACAAATTTGTGTTTTGTTTTGTTTGCTACTGGGGATCAAACTCACGACCTCATGCTTGCTAGGCAGGCACTTATGCCACTGAGCTAAATCCCCAGCCCCAAAATATCTTTTTCAAAAAAGTACCAAGCATACTAATAGAGTACCTTCTTTCCAAGAATAAAAAATAATGCTTAAAGACCAAACTGACTCTACTCTGAGAATCTGTGTGTTACCTAAAATAATTTTGGAGTTTCTTAAAATAGTACTATCTTACTTCCGGTAACTTTTCAAACAAAGGAAACTAAAATATTTTTAAAGCACATTGATTTTTCTCAAATACTCTGTACACATTCCAATTATATATTTATTCTCATTATGTAGTTCAGGCTGGCCTCACACTCATGGCAATGCTCCTGCTTGTCTCCGCAGTGTGGGGATTACAGGTGTGAACCACTATACTCCCTCACAGCATTCATTCATTCATTCATTCATTCATTCATTCACTATAACACACAGTAAGCACTTAACAAAAATCTGCTCATTTTCTAAGAAATCACATTGCAACTCCACTAGGGGAACAATAAAAGTTTAGTTTGCCTTCTGACTTTTCAAGATAACTCTTCTTTTTTCATTATATTACAATTCTAGGAAAACAATCCTTAAATTTAAAGCAACCCTTCTATCATTCCTGAATATCAGCTATAAACAAATGAATTCACATGCACATTAAATTCAAATCCAAAAATTAGTTTACAAGAAAACGAATTTCTTTTTCCTTTTTTTTTTTTTGGTACCAGGAATCAAACTCATGACCTCACCTTTGCCTGTGCCTCTGAGCTGTATTCCCGACCCTACAAACTTCTCTTAAAATGACAAGCATACCTTATAATTAAAGGGTCTATGTTTTGGTTTACGCCTAGATGTTGCCAAAGCTTCACATAGTCATTGGGATTTTTCAGAAGTGGCTGAATCCAGAGTGTGTGACTGACGGGTGGTGCAATGCTGGGATTAAGTGTGCTTGGATTAAGAGTGGGTGACTGCTGGATCAGTCCACTGAGTGGACTGGCACTGCCCTAATTCCAGGAGACTAGATAAAAGGGACAGGAAGAGGCTGTCTTCCTCTTTTTGACTGCTGATGCTTTCCATGAATTGGTTATATTCTGGTCAGAGCTCAGAAGACCAGAAAGTTGGTGAAGATTAGGCTTAGGAGGTTTCTGCTGGGAAGGACTGCCTTGACTGCTGGACTCCAGACGGTGTGTGTTATACCTTGACACAGTTTTTTCTGCATTTTGCTCACATCCAGAAACAGCTTGAGACTGAGATTAAGAATGGCAGACTAAGTAACCTTGTAGAAGAAACTTCAAGGGAGTCGAATATTGAGGAAGTGGCATGGTTACTGTTGGGAGCTTTTAGCCAGATCAATATAGACAATGAAGATCAAAGAGCCCGGCAGAATGATTCAACACACTGTGAGTTTGACCAGAAAGGAAGCTCCAATAAAGCTATGGACTGCAAAGATAGAACAGAGGAGATGCTCATTGCTGAGAAGGAACAAGAGAACAGAAAAGATTGCCTAAGGGATTCCATCCTTTGCAGCCTCAAAACTGCAAAACTGAAAGATACTGTTTTGTGAACAGAGCTCCACAGCACCATGTTCCAGAACTGTAGTGGCCTAGGGAAGTCGTTGCTCAGGATTTGGTTCACACGCTCTCAACTTCAATAGCCAACAAAGTTGGAAGCCTAGCTACTACTCCACCTGGCAGCAGACCTTGGTATCATCCACATGGTAATGCTCTAGGCACAGGCAAAATGAAAGAGTTGTGGGATTAGGAAGGCTTTCATTCAGATCTCAGAAGGCCTGGGAGGTCAAGCAGTGCGTCCTTGAAAGGGCCATGTGTAAAGCTGGAAGTGTGAAGCCAAAGGTGCACTGGAGAACCTAGAAGTTTGAAGAAGCCACGAACCTGGATCATCTGAGGAAAACTGCAAGAGGAAGCAGAGCTGGCCCAGGAGAGAAGCCATGGGAGCTCTAAACACAGGAGTGCCACAGGGGCAGAACCAGTCAAGCCCTTTGGAGTTTGTATCTTGCACAGGTTACTGTGGATGCTGCACATGGAACTACAGGACTTAATGTTTGACTTGTTGGATTCTGGGCTTGCTTTAGTCCCATTCCTTTGTATCCCCCTGTACCCCTTGGAATGGATATGTGTATCTTATACACACCACTGAATGCTGAAAGTGTTTAACTTTTTTTTCATTTGTACAGGCACTCACAGTTAAGAGTTTGCCTCAAGTATCAGAGGAGACTTGGGACTTGGACTTTTCAGCAATGCTGAAACTGTCAGAACCTTGACAATTCTTGGAGATGCATTAAATGCCTTTTGCATAAAGGGATGTCCATGGGTCTTTGGGAGCCCGGGGTGGAATGTTACAGTTTGCGTCCAGAAGTCCCACCAAAGCCTCATGCTGTCATAGGGTTTCTTGGAGTAGCTGAATCTAGAGTATGTGATTGATTCATGGGGCAATGCTGGGATTAAGGGTGCTCAGATTAAGGGTGATTACTGGATCAGTCTACTGATTAAACTATTTAATCCCAGTAAACTGGATATAAGGCCTGTCTCCCCTTTCCTTGCTTGCTTTTGCAGTCTTGTGCTTGCCATGAACTGGATCTCTTCTGCACTGCCCGTCTGCCAAGCCACCCTGACTTAGAACCAGCCAATTATGAACTGAAACCTCTACAAACTGAGCTAAATAAACCTTTTCTCCCCTAACTTTGGCTGTTGGGTATATTTTGTTTCAAGAATGAGAGAAAGTAACTAAGACAGGATATTTTCATTTTTAATACAGAATTTATACGTTAGTTGAATTTGGGGGAAAATAAAAATAAAACAAGTATAATACCTTTGATTCCACTTGGTTTAGCATAACCAGAATGTCAGAAGTGGTAGACTTGGGTATACCAAGGGCATCATACATAGCTTGAACTTCCTGATAAACTTCACTGTTTTTATCTAATTGAGAATTTTTGCATTTCTTTTTTTGTAATATCTGTAAAGCTTGAAGTTCTGTACTTAAAAATACTACAGTAAAAAAGATAAAAAGTAATGTTAACACATGCACAAAAATTTAGGGTACTATGCTGAAATAATTTAATTAAAATGAATATTAACAATGTCAACAGCATCATCAACTTACAGAGAACCATTGTAATTATCAACAGCTGTAGAACACAATAACCCTCAAAAAAGCACATTGAAACAAAAAACTAAAATGAATTAATTTAATGTCATCAGGCAAAGGAAGAATTCATGACTTTTATTCTCACTGATTTCACATTAGTTCATTTCAATTCCATTTTAGTATTTTAAATGACCTAGATTTCTATTTTAGCAGTACATATATTTATCAACACCCTATTGTGAGTCATGCATAGTATAGATAACAGCAGATACTTTCTTATTTGATGCCATACTGCCCTATAGACATTTGTGTGGTTTAGATTGTCAGTCATTTTGCTACTGTAAATAAGGTTATAATATATATCCTTTTTATGAATTTTCCTATACTTAAGTATGGATTCCTAGAGAGAATTGCCCAGTCAAAAGACAGGTGAATTTTAATTATGATTTTGAAAAGTTGTCCTCTGAAGGACCAGTCTTTCAACCATCATCTCTAATGCTTACAGTACATGAAAATTTATTTTCCTACAGACTGGTATTACGATTTGGGGATTCCTTGTTAACTCGGTAAGAAAACTAGCATTCTATCATTTTTTCAATACCTCTTTAATTTTGAGGAAGTATGCACTTTTTCATGTTTGTAATTGAAAAATAGAATTGTTTTTCGTAGAATACATGTTCATCTTATGTACTTAACACATTTTTCCAGAGAATTTCACGTTTCTGAAGCAAAATGTAGCAATACATATCTAATCCAGAGATTTTTCTTTAATGTTCACAGTCTTTTAAGTAAACAAAAGTATCAACAAATTATTTTGAAATAGAAATTAAAATACCTCTGAAGGCACAAATTTTATGCTTTTTCTAAACAGATATATTTCCTGGTACAAGAATAGGTGATCAACGAATGTTTCTGAACAAACTACCATTTACTGCCAAACAATAGAAAGCAAGACCTAATAATCTGATTGGCAGCCTACTTCCCAAATAGTTTTTTTTTTGTTTTTTGTTCTTTTTTTTTGCGGTTCTGGGGATCGAACTCATGACCTCCTTGCACTTGCCAGACAGGCACTTACGCCACTAAGCTAAATACCCAGCCCCCAAATAGTTTTAAGATAACCAAGTTTTAGCTATTTAGTCATTGATGTTGAGATGAATTAGATGAAAAATTATTCAAATATTCTATAAGGCACATAGTACATTCTACAGTACAAATACTGTTTTAGAGGCTATACTCAGAATTCAAACTATAGAGGCAAATATTTCTTTCTGAGATAGCTTATAGTTTAAATTTAATACTAAAACATTTTAAATATATAAAATGTCTAATGTTTCAACAATGGATAAATTGAGAGCTGAAGATATAAAAAAAACAGATCAAATACGTACATTTAAATGTCCAATGAAAAATAACTTACACAGAAGTTTCAAACAGTCATCCTTCTTTTTTAAACGATCTTTAACATCTCCTGATATGAGAACAGAATATGGACAGGCCATTTCTTTTAAAAAGCCACTTATCTCAAGTTGGAAGCTTTCTAAGTCATCTTTCCCTTTAAAAAGGAAAAAAAAAATCACAAAACATTTACTGCCTTCTCATTATATATCTGATACTATAAAATTTACTACTAGTTGATTTTGATTTTATACTGAATTCTAAATTTTCACTTGCCCATTTAATTCTTGGATGTGTGGTCAATACACGTAAATAGAGGTAACCAATTTCCACATACAGAAAGTATCACAAGTAATCATGAGACTGTAAATACTACCATTTAACGAAATTTACTCTTACATCTCTGACAAGTCTCTTCTAAAGGATTCCCAGTAAGACCAGATAAACTGCAGTACTTGATATTAGCAACTGAAATATTAAAAGTACTATTAGAGCTACATTTGTTAATTGGTCTCAGAGCAAATCCTCCACTTCTACTATTTCTATACATTCTAGTTAAGACATTGCTTATCTTTATAATGCAATTAGGTAGGAACTTGTTTCATGTTTTGGATTCATATTATTCATGTATCTCTACATGAATTCATGTCCTGAATTACAAGTTTGGTAAAATAAATTAGGAATACATGTATTTAAAACAACACAAAACAAAACTATAATTCAAAATGAGCCATATTCGGGCTGGGGATTTAGCTCAGCGGCATAGGTGCCTGCCTTGCAAGCATGCAGTCGGGAGTTCGATCCCTGGTGCTGATTAAAAAAAAAAAAAAGAAAAAGAAAAGAAAGAATCAACTTTTTAAAAAATGAGCCATATTCAAAATTTAAACTTTCCAAATAACCAATTTTTTTTCTGAAGAATAAAACTAAGGTTAACGTAGCAGGTAAATAATTGTTTTTAATTTTTAGCAAATTTAAGAATCCATTTTTTATACAACAAAATCTAATCCAAAGATTTTTAAGAGCCTATACTGAAATTCTTCATAATATCAGTGATTTTAATGTTGAGAAAACTATAAATTATAAGCTATCAGTTCATTTTATTATTAAACAGAAAGTAAAAAAACAAAAAGCATAATGGCAAATACCAGCTGAAGTGATACTTTCTTCCAAGTTGCATAATGACTTTATTTGAGAGCCTAACCAAACACAGAGCTCTGAAAATTCAGGTGAAGAAAGTCCAGCCTCTGCTGCCTTGGTAAGGGCTTGTTCTTCTAACAGTGGTCCTTTATACCTATAAGGGAGGAAATAAACATTTGAAAATGAGAAAAAGAGAATTCTACGGTAGTCTCTATCCAGGCCTGTTGCTGCCTGTTTTAATAAATTAACTTTCATTAGAACATAGCCAATAAAAAAAAAAAAAAGAACATAGCCAATAAACACAGGCAATCTATTGTTGCTTTCATACTACAATGGCAGAGCTAGGTAAATTTTAACAATAATCAGCAAAGCCTATAATACTCTCTCAGCCCTAAGAGCCAATACAGAAACAATTTGCTGATTTTTCTCTATTTTCCCCATATTTTGACACTTTACAGTAAAACTACCAATTTTAAATATTACAGATAACAGTCCAATAAAATACCAACAAGTTTATGAGTTTCAGGAATAAGTACACAAAACTAAAGATGCAAATTTCAAATTTAAAAACCCAAAGCTGAAAAAGGACCGATGAGATAATTTTAATCTAAGTAATTTATCTCACATATTTTTAAACATTTCTGTAAATTGTATTTGCCACGAACCTTCACTATTTAAAATCCCATACACACTGGGCCAGGGATTTAGCTCAGCGGTTCAAGTGTTTGCCTGGTAAGTGCAAGGTCATGAGTTCGATTTCCGGTACCAAAAAAAAAAAAAAAAAAAACCTGTTAACATTAGGCTTGTAGTTGATGGCTGTAACTTGAAAAAACTTCTCTGTGTCCTTGTCTCATTTACTCATTAAGTGTAAGTCCAAAAAACTCCCATATACAGAATCTTAAGTGAGATATAAATTTTCTATTTTTTTTCTGTTTTCTGCAGTGAAACTTTTTTAAAATTGTAAATGTATTTTAATACACTTAATGTGCTTTAACACACTAGAGTTACTTTGATATTTGAACTGTGCTAAGTCCATTCCTAAGAATCTCCCGTGTATTCTTCGAATACTTTGCTTGCTTTCTATGACAACAGGTATTTCAGCTTTACACTTGTAGTCAGACTTCTATCCAGGAAGCTCTTGTCTTTTCTAATGGCAATTAGAGTATACAATCTGCTATTAAAGGTTGACCCACTGTTTGAATGTCTTTTCAGTGAGATTGCTGAGGACCAAACCAAGGGCCGTGGCCATGCTAAGTATGTGCTGCATTTACTGAGATAAACTCCAAGCCACACCATACTCAAAAAAAAAAAAAAAAACTTTATCAGGAATCCATATCGCAATTTTCCACTTGTATTTAAAATTACAGAATTTTTATGTATTGTTTAATATATTTCTTTTAAAAGGGAAAATTTCTCATCTTCCATTCCATAAAAATAACTCCATTACATAAAAATGGATATAAACTACATAGATTCAGAACAGCAAATGCAGTATTATTAGCATTGTTACTAACAATAAAATCACCAAAAACAGCTTACTTTTTGAACAACTGAACAATTTGTCCCTATATGCCAAATTCTTCAACTGTCATCCACCCAAACTTTATTATTTTTTAGTGGGTTTTCTTTTTTTTTTTGAGAAAATTTTCATTTTTCCTTTCCCAAGGAACAAACATTTATTTCAAGACAAACTCGCAGTGTAAACTATAAACTCTCATTGCAGCTGTGGTCCAGAGAAGAAAAGTATGGCTTTCTGACATCACCAACAGGTCTCATCAGCCAGCTATAACACATCTGGAAACTGCTGGTGATTGCTCTGCCTAGTCTCTCCTGTCTACTTAACTTAGTTCTACCACTTACTCTGATTCATGGACTGCATATAATAATAGCCTCATACAAACATGCTCAGTTACCATAATGATCCCAACTTACTTCATGTCATCTGTTGGTATACACCCGCTCAAACATCAAGATCTACTGAACAAAAGTAAAGCAAAGACCATGAGATGAGTTCATCATGACATGCTGGACTCATATGTGGTTGAATATTACAGGTACAATCAATTTGAAAATAATGCTTTTAATGGACCAGAGATTTGGCTCAGTGGCGTAAGCCCCTGCTTGGCAAGTGCAAGATCATAAGTTTGATCTTTGTACTAAAAAAAAAAAAAAAAAAAAAAAAAAAAAAAAAAAACTAATGCTTTTAATTTCCCTATACCAAATATGTCAGAAATTTTCTTGTTTTGATTTTTTTAGTTTTTAGTATGTTTTCATAAAATATCCAGAAACAAATTCTTCAGTTAAATACATCTAATAGGTAAAGTGTTCAACTAACCAAATTTGGATAGTTGATCCACTGTTTCATTAGGAATATATACTGCTGAGAATATAGCTCAGCAGCACAACAGTGCCTGCCTTGCAAGTGCAAGGTCCTGAGTTTAATTTCTGGTACAAAATTTTAAAAAAGAGAATATATACTGGTACTTCAGTTCATTAACACCTTTGCTTGCAAACAATTTAGTCCACACAGAGAAGTATCTGACAAAATTGTGTTTTTGTTTGCAAACTCTCCATCAAATAAACACAGCCACATTTCCCATACACATGAGCATGGCCATCTTTTCCAAAACTGCAGAATAAATTAAGTGTGTGAACCAACGTACCACTGTGTTTAAATAAGGATATGTAGAAAAACAATGCATTTCCATGTAATTAACCCACCTGCTCCATGTTGACAGCCACTTGTTTCATTTTGCTTTAATTTGTACATACTTTTACTTTATTTTGGTTTGTATTTAATTTTGCTTTATAATTATGTAAATTAAGTAATTTTAAAGTCTCACTTCTAAAACAAGGTAAGTCAGACCACATAAATCTAGTTCCTTCTACTTTGTCCCCCTAACCATGGGTAACCACGTTTACTAATTTGAGTTGCCTTATAATGATTTTCAATATAAATATAAGCATATATTTTTATCTTTGTTAAGATAAAAGGTAGCTTACTACTAAAGCGTCAGTCTGTCCCCAGAGCCTGTTCATACTTAGGCTACAAGAAACTTCCCAGAACTGTTCCAGCCGAAAAAAATCAACCCTGCCCAGGAACCAGTGATGACCATGTCACACTCTGCTGCTCGCATCTAACTCACCCGCAGAGCCTCCCCCCTCCCAAGAACAACCCTTAAAAACCCTCTTCCTAAGCCAAACAGGAGCTGTCTTGATCTGCAGGGCAGTCGATCCCCTGCCTAATAAAGCTTCTCTTTTGCGGCAGAATGTCTGGTCTGGCTTTGCGTCAGCTCCAGTCCATCAACTACATATTGTTCTGATCCTTGCTCTAAACACATACACATTTGCATATACTAAGGATCAACTTAAGAGATAAGTCTCAATCATGTTTACAGTTGTATAGTACTCAACTGTCAGGATTGAAGCAAGATTTAAAAAGACAAAGTTGAGTTCCCCCAAACTTCCCTCACTCTACAGGTGTTGTTCTATGGTCTAATATAGACAAAAGCAGTAACTCTGTCCTGGTAAATATTATAATCTGCTTTCATAGCATCCTGTTTTTTCCCAACCAAAGCTACTGGGCACAGCTTAACAAACTGACTTTGTTTTGCTTGCCCACCCCAAGTTATGCACCAGTAGACCACTCCCTCTGCAACATGTAGGAAACTGGAGTCCTTCTTTTGTTCAGCACTCCGCTATTTTAGACACAAACGTGCTAAGATGTACCCCTAATAAAATCCTACTTCCCACACAGTCTCTCCAGTTTCTTGAATTCTACAACTGGATGTATTATATCTCACTTAATTAGCATGTAATGAAGGATATTTTTGTTGTTTCCAGTGTATTGTAGCTTGGTAAATGTTTATAAATGTATACCTAGAATACATTTCTAAAGGCGAGATCACTGGATTAAAGAGTAAATGGGATATAATTTTGCGGGATATATTAAATATTTTTCTATAGAAACTGTACTATCAATGACAGCACTCACTCTCTGATATTTAAAGCTGTGAATCTTTCAGATTTTGACCATCTGGTAATTAGTACCATTTGGATTTACATTTCTCTTATGAGCAATGCTATGCATTTCTGCATTTATCTCAAAGCCATTTGTTTTTCACTTTTTCAGTGTTGGGATCAAACACTCAGAGCCTCAGTGCACGCCACACAAATGCTCGACCACTGAGTTTATATGCCAGCCCTTTTTATTTTTATTTGAGACACTGTCACATTATACTGTCCAGGCTGGCCTTGAACTTATGATACTCCTGCCTCAATTGGGACGACAAGCGTGTTTCTTTTGCTCTGAATTCTCTGGTTGTATCTCATGCATAGTATTTTAAAGCCTTTTGCAAGTAAGGAAATTAAGACTTAACAAGATTAGAATACCTACTTTAAGTAGCAGGCTAGGAACAGTGCTAGGCAGATACAATAATAATTCATTATTCTTTATGATAATACTTTGATGTTAGACTTATTCTAAAGTAATTATATAGAATTAGAAGATAAGCAATGGCATTAGAATTTAAACCAGATTTGATCTCAAATGTGAACTCTTAAACATCTGTCACACCTATAAACAACTTGGCTCAGGTAATATAGCCAGCCAAGAAAAAACAAGGCTGAGACTGAACATGGTCTCTCCACCTCTAACTTATGGCTCCTTTCTGTGTTACCTACATATCTTGTAGTGTCTTTTATTAAAATTTAATGATGAGTATCTTATTGCTCCCATTTGCCTTTACTTCTACAATAAGGCAATATTCATACACTCCTGAATAATTTTAACTCATATTGGTGACAAGTCATTTTTCATTGAAATACTAATTATGAAATTCAATAAAAGCTGATCAAATCACCAATCCTGAATTTAAAGGGGAAAAAAACCCTTACAATCCTTAATGCATTAAATCAAGTAAAAATAAAGAAAAACAAAATACATTTAACAAATGAGGACATCTAACAATAACCATAATAGTGACTAAAATTACTTGCCCACTGCTCGCTAGCCCAGCGCTCAGTACCTTGTGTACATTACTTCATTTAACTGCTGTACTTCTCCACTATGGTGAGCCTTATTTTACAGAGAAGGAAACTGAAGAACAAAGAGCTAAGTCCCCTTGCACTGTCATAATCATAGTCACCAGAGGCTAGGAACTGAGCCACTCACTCTATCTCCACACCCTCAAAATCTCAACCCCTCTCTATGAAACTGTTGCTATCCAGAAATGTATCTTTCCACTTGCTTTACACAATGAAGTGTCTAAAAATATTCTGATAATTTAATAAAAGTTTGAAATAGTATTATCTGACTAGAACAGTGTTTCTTAAATTTTGATGTGCATATTAATCTCCTGAGGGTCGTGCTGAAACAGATTCTAGTTCAATAAAGCTGAGTGAGACCTGGGATTCTGCATTCCTACTATAGAGATGATGTCAGCACTGCAGTTCCACAGACCCTTCCCCAGGCAGCACAGTTCTGGAGCATTTTTTTTTACTTCCACTAAAATCTCTCTCCATAGTCATCACCACTTCTCATTGTTCTGCTCTTGCAGCCTTTTAGAAATCAGAGTCCTGCTCTTATTAAATAATCAGAAAATTAATCTAAGAATCTATTTGACATTTAGTAACTGTTTAGTGCTTATCACCTTGATCTCATGCTTACTTTCATTTCCAATTAATTCTGCTGTTTAGTGAGAATAACCATGCTCCTATATTGTTCTACTTATTCTTATTTCATTAGAAAAAAATGCTGCCATTACTATGAACGTTGGATACACCTCTCCCTAGCCTAGACAGCTGCCCCATGCTCTAGCATCTTTTATTGGAACCACACTGAGGGTCTGGACAATACTTCAAAGCAAGTGATTCATTAAAACTGTTGACAACTCTCCTTAGACAGATGTGCAGGGCCTAATTTATTATCTTTGTTTCTATTTTCATAAGTAACATATAAAGTATGAGACCCTTCCTTTCTCCCATCATTTACCCACCCTGCTAGCCTTGCTTCTAAACCAGCTTTTCACCTCTCTGCTTCCCATATTTCTTCTCTGTTCCACGCATAATAACACTCATGTACTGTCCATCTCTTTAAGATTCTTAACTCTTAAGCTGCTCAAGGTCAGGTGGTAGGGTTCTGTCCTCTTCACTTTCCAAACAACTTTCAAATCACTGTCGCCCATATATATTGCTCCTGCTTTCTCACACCTCTGGCTAGTCAGATTTGCCATCCTCTGTCTCTTACTGTTTCACTTATCAATTTCTGGATGCTCCTCAGCAATCCTTTTATTCAGTTTTCCTCCCCAACCTTGCTCTTGCCATTATACGGAGCACCATCAAAGCTTTATGCATACCCTACCTAATAACCTGAGCAGCCAATCCCTAACTTGCACTGAGCTTCTCCACTCCATATCAATCAGTGCCCTGGACCTTACCTCACTAGAACTACTTCATTTTCCAAATTGCTAATTCTAACATTAATGCAGACTGCTAATATGACCATATCAAGAGACCACAGTCTACTATCTATCATTCCTTTTCTGACCATTCACTCTCAACTATGTTTTTATCTCATCACTATTTCCACTGCATTGGCCCCTTGCATTCTCTGTATTTACTAGCTTCTTGTCTTCACTTTCCTTCCCATTCAATTTAGATATTCAGCGTATAATTTCTCTTTGGTGCTTAGCAAGTACTGACTAAAGAAACGAAACCCCAAATTCTATCATCCAATCAACCGCTAATTCCTGTAATGCACTTCTTTCCATACCCACTGCCACTGAGAAACCACCATCTTTCCCAGACGAGTGTTATAACTAAATTCTCCAAACCATTTTCTGACATATATTTTCAAATTAGACATTTAACCACTCCCTTTTTTATTTAAAATCCTTCAATTATGTCCCATTAGGCCAAGAATAAAATCCACAACGCAGCCTAAAGAGTACTGCATGACCTGGTCCTCACCTAACTGTCCAATCCAATTTCCCACTATTCTGCCCATTGCACTCCGCTTTTCCACCACTCACATTAACTTCCTGTTCTAATACAGCGTGCTCCTTTCCAGCCAATCCCATTTGGATACCCTGTATTGAGCCTTCTTACTTCAACCCAAGTGTCACTTCCTTAGGAATCCACCACAAACTCTTCAGCCTCCTGCTATGCTACTCGGTTCTTTTCCTCTGAAGCATTCACTACAGTTTATAATATTTGTGTGATTATGTCTGCTTCCACTTGCTTATATGGTTCACGGGGACAGAGACTAAGTCTATTTTGCTCATCAGTGACTCCTCAGAACAGCATCCAATAAACAGTTGTTCCCCATAAACACTTGTAATAAACTTCCTCCTGTATCAGTGGTTCTCGACCTAGTCTGAAGCTTTTTAAAACTATGCATGCCTGGCTGGGGGTTTAGCTCAGCAGCCTAAGCACCTGCCTGGCAAGTGCGAGGTCGTGAGTTCGACCCCACATCCAAAAAAAATTCATGCCTGTATGATACTTCTAAAGATTATGATTCATTCATACAGTGGTCTATACTGGCCTGGAACATTTTTACAAACTCATATATGACCCTGATGCACAAAAAGACTACTGTCATGATCTACTGTACCACATAATCATATATTATTATAAATAAAGAGACAAGAAATCACCCGCCCCAGTACCATTTCAGAAATGAGGAAACTGATTCTCACCCTATTTTCTTTCATAATATATATTACTGAACCGTTCTTTAATACAGATTTCCCTTTTTAATTATTTTCCAGTGATTTCTTACTTTGTATGACAAATTTTGTATGATAAAGCCCCTTCACTGATATCCTAAATGTCTTAATCGCAGCAAAAATGCATTACTGTGTTTACAATTAACATTAACATTCGAAAACAGTGCTCAGTTACAACCCATTGTGTAAACAATTACTTTTTCCACATTTAATTCAAATTTCAAAATCCTGACCTCTGTTATTCCAGAAAAAAACAACTCTAAAGTGTACAAATTGTTCCTTGATTTTTTTTTTTTAATTGAACTCATGACCACCTGCTTTCCAGGCAGGCACTTATGCCGCTGAACTGAATCTCTGGCTGAAGTATACAAATTGTTCTACTTTTCAGAGTAGAAAATGTGAAACTAAATTTACTTGATAAAAATCAAGATTACAGCAAACTTCATTTTCCAAAACATTGTAGTATGAAGCATAAATCCAAGAAACGAAAGGAGGAAGAAAGCAGTCTTTTTCTTTTGCATAAACAATTTATATAATTCCATTTTGAGAGCACAAACTAGAGCCTGAACAATTAAACATAACATAACTGCTTGTCACTGTTAGAGCCGTCACCAAATTTTCAAGGGATTTCACAAGAAATAAACCCTCTTAAATCCTCCCTGGCTCAGTTATTCCACTTAACATTTATTAGAGACCTACTAAGTGCAAGGCACTGCATCACCGTCACTCAGAAGTAGGTGTTTTCACAGTGCTCCTCTTTGTTATTTTGACTCTCAACTGTCTGGTTCAATGTTTATTTCCCTGCAGTCTCCTCTGACCTCTTGGTCATTAATTTGCTCATTCATTCAACTATCATTTAAGGTGATTCTAGACTGCTGCGGAGAAAAACATTAGAACAGATAAGGTACCTGTTTTCCGGAATTGACTTGGGGAGAAGGAATGAAAAACTGGCAAGAATAAAGTTAGGGGACCAACAAATGGGCAAGACAACAATAATTCAGGATGGGGCAAGCGCTGGGAAGAAAAACAGGATGAGGCTGAGGTGGGGGTTATGTTGTTGCATCTATGAACACACAGCCCGCTCCACCGCAAGAGTTCTCACAACACCTAGCGCCCTGACTTGTCAACTGAAACAGTACTGTCTTTAACTCTCACGATTACATAAACAATAATCTGAAAACTGTCTTCTTGCACTTAACACGTAAATAAGCATCGAATCAATGTATAGACTCGCTAGGAACTAAAACACTTTCCCCAGTCAGCAGGAGTGATTCGCTCCCGACGCTCAACTAAGCTGCAGGTTATCCACGCCACAGCTCAGGTTCCAGCATCTCTCTCCCTCCTTCCCTCCTTGCAGCCCGCCCAGCCGGACATAGCAACCCCACGGGCGCCAGCCAGCCAGGATGTCCCGGCCGCAGGGTTCGAAACCCACTAGCTCGGCAGTGGGGCCCGCGCCCAAGCTCTCCGCCCCCACCCCCACCCCAGGCGATCTTTTCCCGCCTCCTGCTTAACTCCGTCGGCGCCAGAGGGTACCAGGCCCAGGAGTTGGAGGCCCGTGCAGAGCTGCCCAAGCTCCACGGAAGGCCCAGCCGGGGGAGGTTGCCGCAGCGTGGTGGAGAAAATGCCGCGTTCTTTGCAGAAAGGGTCCCCAGGAGTCCTCACCCGAGCGCCTCCAAAGTGTCCAGCACGTCCCCTTCCATGGTAGTGTAGGGGCCTGGCTCGGGCCCTCTCATGGTCCTTTGGCCCGAAGCTGTTCGGCGCTCTAAAGAGCCCGCCGGAAACCAGTGTCACCATGTCAAGGTTCCGGGCGGAACATCCACAGTGACAGCCCAAGAGTACCGCTTGAGGGAGGGAGTTCCTAGAACAGAGGCAATCTACATTGGTAAGAGCCTAGAACTGCTTTATGTAACAGTGGTAACTTTTAAAACAATAAAAAATAGTATTTTAAAAGCGTTTTTAAGCCCAACACGGAGGAGGTTGAGGCAGGAAGATCGTTGTGAGTTCCAGACCAGCCTGGATTACAAAATGAGCTCAAGGCCAGCCTGAACCGTTAGTGAGATCCTGTCTCAAAAAGAATAAGTAAGTAAATAAATAAATAAATAAATGCGGGATTTTTTTTTTAAGCGTTTTTGTCCTGGGTGTTAAAAGCTAATCTTACCAAATAATTATTCCCTGTTGATCTCAACCTATCAGACTCCAGCCCTCTTTTTTCTAACAAAAACCCAGAAATGAAATTATAATTATCTAGAGCCAAAAATACTAATAATAGCATGTACATACAAGTGTAATAACTAAATCAATGAAGCAATGCTCCAGTCAATATAAAAAAGAGATACAGGAGATGTAATTTATGAGGCATGAGTGAAATACGTGGTGAATATTTAACAAAATGTATTATATTAAAAGACATTGCCATTAGTCACCCTCCTAGGACTCCCCTTCACTCTAAAGGCACTTACCATTCTTGTCACTTTCTCAAGCAGTCCTGCAAGTCTTTCATGTCTTTACCAAGAGTAATAAAAAATATAATAAATGCAGCTGCCAAGTGCCATTCAGTGAAAACGTAGGCTCCTGAAATAGGACTATGTGTCCTCAACCACCTTATTCACTGCCTCTGGCATTGTGCGACTTCTGTCTGGCTTTTCCTCAAAGTCAAAATAATTATAAAGACTTTGAATCAATTCAGCACATCCAACTAAAGACTTACAAAGGAGAATTTGCAGAGCTGCTTAGCAAGTGGCAAGTGACCATCTACCTCCTTTAACCAGGCACCATCTTGGAAAACACTGATCCATGGGCTCACTCATGAGCTAATCCACTGATGATTATGGCTTTCACCACATGTACCAGACACCTTCTGAGAGTCCCACCTCTCAAAACATGACACTGGAGGGATATTTTACATTTAAACCATAACAGCATTCATATGTAAAAAGGTATCAGGGAATTGGGTCAGATTATCATCAGTAGATATATCACTTAAATGAGTGTCTCAGTAAGATGGATAAAGGTCATACAACACACAACTGTCTTCCTTAGCACAGACTGTCCTGTGCATTGCAGAATATAAAGCATCCCAAGCTCCAGTCAAGTAAAAGACAATAATGCTCTCACCTCCCCAATCACTGTTACAAACAAAAAACTTACCCATAAAGTTGTTAAACACTCCAGGGATGCTGGATCTTATGCTTGTCTGATACTTACTCACAATTTACTATGTCTTAATGTTCTGCAAGGCTTAAGTACAACATGAATTGCAGTTTTAGTGAATCTGAATTCTTCACAAACAAGACACAGGAGAGCGAACGGTTAATGTCAAGGTCAAAGATTGGGAAAAATAGTAAAGGTAGTAGTGTTAGTAATCTCAGCAAAAGAATGTCTGTAAAACATCTAATGAGGAGACTATTCTTCATGAGCATTTACCCGGAGTATTCTGCTGCTGTTTTTCCTTTTTAAAAAATATACAACAAAACTAAAGCAAAGAAAAAAATCTTTTAAAACAGACGTGTAGGAAAACTGAAAACGGCTCATATAACAAGCTGACTGGTTGAGCTTCAAAATGGAAACCACTGGAGAAAATGGAGCAGAAACAAGACAAGATTCTGGCGATGAGTTTTCTGACAAAACAATCACTGATTCAAGATGTCTGCTGACTATGAAAAGAATTTTTTAAAATCTAGAAAAATTTTACAAAAATGATGCAAACAAAAGACAAAGACAAAATCTTAAAAGGAATATGAGGAAAAAACTAAAGCTCAACATTAATAACGTTAACTTCTTAGGCAAAGAGAATGGAAGAAAATAATGAAATAATGCCTTTATCATGCCTTAAATAACCCAAAATCCAGGATTTTATAAACATAAAGATGTTTTCAAACAATAAAAACTGACACAAATTGTGTTGTGCACTCTAATTTTGAAAGAATAGTAGAGAGTTCTTTAGGAATAAAGAAAATGATGCTGGATTTACAGAGAATCCTTTAGGTTAAAAAAAAACCAGTGCAAGTTTACAGTCAGGATTCAGTGTCACAGGTTTGAAAAATATGTTTGTATAAATGTCAAAAATAGGATATAATGTTCTACTTGTAAAAACGGGTCCAAATAAAGTGAAATGAATAGTTTGTTTTTTTTTTAAGAGCCAAGGGGTTTAGCTCAGCGGCACAACTGCTGCCTGACAAGTGCACGGTCGTGAGTTTGATACCTGGTACCAAAAAAAAAAAAAAAAAGATGCTGTATAAAAGCACAATATTTTCTTGTAAAAAGGAATGAAATGCATTCCTGGAAAGCATAAATATGTGAATAAAAGTAGATAAATATCAACCATTCAAATAGTGATGTTTTGTGAAAAATAAGATATAGAAAGAATTGAGGGGTGGGAGATTATAAATAGAATTAAAGCTCTGTAACATTCTTCCATTGTCCAAGAAGTGGTAAAATAACTATGGTAGTAATCAAGATTACATGTTGTCATAATTAAGATGATCAGTAAAGGAATAATCAGTAGATATCCACATGATGTGGAAAATATGATTTATAAATTTGACCTAATTTACATATATAGATCACTGCTTTCCAAATCTTGGAAATATTTTTTTTCAAGTGCACACGTCGTCACTTGTTGAAGACCACTATGAAGCGGCTCTCAGCAGGATTTAAATTTACTAATTGCCTTTCTATGTTTATCTGTGTGTCTGTCCGAGGCCTAGGCCCCTTGCCTGGTGACGGGAGCTGATTCATAGTAAGTGAACCTCTATGAATCACCAGTCCTAGCTGTGGCCTGTAGTGGCCTGTGAGGCCAGAGATACCTCAAAGGGAAAGATAAGGCCACAGCTGAGGACACATTCGCTGCATCACTAATTGAGTAAATAGAGACTGCAGCTGAAGGAAGCTCACTCCGGCAATCTCTCTCCTACCATAAATGTCATCCTGGAGATAAGATGGTTCTCCTAAATTGGCATAATTTACTACTTGAAGAAGTCTTTGAAGTGAATCCCAAAGTCCTGCTCATTTTACATGCTTTCCTCAGTTTCCTTGATGTTTGCTTTGGACCTAATAAATATGGGCTATCCAGAGAAGTCTTTGTCTTAGCCCTCAGAGTCTCAAACTCAGCTAAAGGGTTTTGAACCTCCTGGAGCCCTAAAATGATATGACTTATCTCGTTTTATTTAAGCCTTTGCTGTACACTCATTTCAGAGATTGGGGATCTAGATCAGGACCCGATAGTCACTTATAGGACTTGACCTCAGAACTGGATCCTAAAATAATTCTCTTCACATTCAAAGACCGAAATCATAAAGAACATCTCTGGCTAAACTAAACATCATATATAAAAGAAAAAAGTAAATCCCCAAGCACAATACATTTCTAAACAACCAGGCAATGAACTAAAAATTACAATGGAAATTAGAGAATGTTTTTGTCATGGTTTACGTTTGTGTCCCCCAGGCCTCATGAGTTTGCATTGTTCATATGCGATGGTGATGGTTCATTGTATAGTGTTTGGATTGATGGTGTCAGTGCTCCACCCACATAGGGGTGGAGCCAGGATGTGATGTAATGGCAGGAAGAAGGTGTGTCTTTCTCTTTTGCTGGTTCCAGCTTGCTGTCGAGGGCTGCCATGAACTGCGGTCCAGCCATGCCCACCTGCCATGGAGCCAACTGAGTGTGGACTGAAACCTCCAAAAACTGTAAGAAATAAACCTTTCCTTTCCCAACTTGGGCTTCAGGTATTTTGTCTCAGCAACGAGTAAAAAGTAACTAAGACAGTTTTAATCAGAACAATAAAAAATACACATAATACATGGCAATACTGCAAATCTGCATCTCAACTTGCAGGATGTTAGGCCCTAGTTGGTGCCTTATTCAAATCTTCAGTAGCCCATCTCATCTGCTTCTGAAAAGGTACATGGTAGGTACGTGTAAATACTATGGTCCTTTTACCTACTGTCTGTCTTTTCCATAAAATGGACCCATATTTCAAATCAACACTGCCACATGTGAGACATCTTCTGAACTCTCAACTGGTGGTGGTGGCAGAGAAATTAAGGGCAGAAAAGAGCCCAGACAAGGCAGACTCTGTCCCCTCTGAGATGACCTGTAAGCCAGCCCTCCACAGGTGGCTGGCTGGAATCCCTGAGGAAAGTGCCATCATGAAGTCTCTGCCACTGACACGTTAGCACTCATTCATACAGGAATGTACTTCTACTTTCCCTTCCTTCCTACTCCATTTTTCCCTTCCTTAGCTTGGTACTCACCAATAATGCCATTATTGAAGCATTTAATCTCAAACTATTTTCTAAAGAGCATAAGCTAAAACAGTTAATGCCATTTATTGAATTAAATACATCTGTTCCTTACAAGTTACCTGGATTCAAATACTGTTATAACAGCACCAAATGAACTGATAACTGATGAAAAAGCCAAGTGGGGCTTATGAATTTCAACATTATGTTGCTAGGGACTCTAAGGAAACAGGTACTCTTTTGTATTGACCTGGAGAGTCTACCTGAATGATCCCTATACAGACCTATATATTCAGAAAAATAGACTGTGTTCAAACATATACTTGACCAAGAAATCTATATGTACTTTACTAGTTGCTGGATATGGGTAGATCCTCCCAGACTATCTTGCATGTGCAGAAAATCAGGAAGGATTTCTATGAAGCTCCACAGAAGCTAGAGAAACAGTCATTGCTTGTGCACACTTGTTGACATTATGCGTTGGGCCTCTTAACAGCAGAAACAAGATTCTTAGTATGTAAAAATATTAGGTTTTTCTTTGGTCCGGCAGAGAAGCAAAAGCAAAAAGAGAAGAAAAG